TTTCTTTAGGAAACCACAACTGACCCAAACAATTGTAACAATCCTCTCACACACCTTCAAAGCACAAAGAGCAGGGCCTTATTAATCCATGAGGTGAATGGACTAGGGCCCTTAATCTCATCCTATATTCTTTGCATGTTTAAAACTTAGTCCCTCAACTTTTAATTTTTAGAATTTAGTCTCTTTACAGTTTCCCCTTTTGGTTTAAGGATAGAACAATTTGTACTCCATGTGGATTAACATTTTTTTTCCAATTCTTGAACTTTTCTTTGTCCACATTAATTCTTATACTTGATATGATGTTACGTCACTTTAAAAGGGCAAACTATGCATTTAGTACATAAACTATTACTTTTTGTCCATTTTAGTACCTAAACTTTCAATATTTTTAAAATCATACCTAACATATAGTTTTTGTTTCATTTTAGTACCCACTGTTAAAAAATTTAACGCCTTTAATACATAAACTGATAGTTTTAAAAAATTAAAAGTTTAGGTACTAAAACGGACCAAAACTAATAGTTTAAGTATTAAACGTGTAATTTATCTCACTTTAAAATTGTAACATTTGACACCATTTTAGAGTGCCACCGTGTCACAACATCAAAATGATTAGAAATTGAAGTTCAAAGACTAATGTGGATCGGAAAAAAAATTGTATCGAGGACTAAAAGCTGAATTTTCTCTTTAATTTAATATATGAGGTTTCATTTATAACATAATCCAATTTAATGGAATCTCTTATGTATTATTGATCAAACTTCAATGACCAAATCAGAAAATTAGTAAGGCTAAATGATAAATGTTGTTATTTTTCCTTTGTTAATATACACAAATTAATCCAAGAAGTCTCCAATGATTACAATTTGATCCACTCGGAGCCATCGATGAAACTGAGAGAAATAAAAGGCTTAGCCTCTTCATCCGTAAGCTCCCTCGACCATGAAACCCTTCCTGCAAAGCTTGCTCCCGGTCCCATGCACTTGTACTGCCCATAAAACACAGTCCTGCAAGCAAAAACAAAAACCGACCACTTCAATACAAAATTACAAACACTTTATAGCACCACCGATCATGCATGCGCATGCTATATAGCTTCTGCAAAAATATATTATATCTTTATCACCGATCACCATCACTACCTAATCTAATATATATTTTTGGGTGCCTTCAATGGTGCATTACACGTAGGTTTAATAGATCAAAGGAAAGCTCACACAGTTCTGAGCCTCAGGTTTCTGTATCAGTAACCGCCCAAATTTCTTGTCCTACTCGTTTTCCATATATATATATATATATATATGTATGTATGTATGTATATCCACTACTTATCCAATAATGTAATCAGTTTTAGTTAACTAATGGATGATGAGATCATGTTGCACATATGCATGCATGAAAGAGAAGGTGAAAGCAAAAGAGATTACATTTCACGAGCAGGGTCGCCCCAGTTATACCAGCCCTTGGGAATGATGATGTTATCCATATAAGTGTAAGCAAAGACCACCCTGGAGAAAGGACCCCATGCCCTCCCGAGGTACAGTGCCCCTGACCCCGTGACCTTACAGTTCACGAAAGAGAAGCCCGTGTCATCTAAGATACTCCCTCTTCCTTGTGCTGTTACTGCCCCTGTTAATGTTGCCACTGCATGCACGTGACATCCCTGAAAGGAACATCCCGAAAGACAACATATGTGTATAGGGTTGGTTCGGTTAATGCAGGGTGAGTTGTTACTGACCTCGAAGAGGGAGAGACTGTTTCCGAAGATGAAATCGACCGAACCTTCGATGTAACAGTCTTTGTAGTAATGTCTGCCGAAGTGATCATAGAGAGTGTCTTGAGCTCCAAGGAATTTACACCCTAAAAATGTAGCTGTGTCTGCTGATATCCTGAATGCCACCGCTTGCTTTCCGACAGCTCCCGGTCGTGGCACCGGTGTTGTGTTCTGCACAGATGTTATTTCCTTTCACAAATAAGAAGAAATAGTTCAAGACTGGGTTCAATTATGGTACCTTGAATGTTATGGTTTTGGCTATGAAATAAGGTGAATTGACGGCGAAAGTTGCAGAAGCATAGGTTCCCATAGGCTGTCCTCTCGGACCAGGTGTTTGAGCTGTGTCTCCCCATTGAACAATTGTTTCATCTGCTCCTGACCCTTCAACGGTTATGAAGGATTTCAATGGTGGAATGTTAACCTTCTCCCTGAAAATCAAATCAAAACGATCAACTTCTTTCACAAGCAAGACATGAACTACATGAAAGAAAAGATTAGTCTTGAATTAGACCATTTCAATGGGGATTTCAATCAGACAGATAAAAGACATAAAAACAAACAAAAACGGGGACAACATTCTCGTATTTGTATGTACACAAGTGAATGTTGACAAGCTCTAGAATCTATAAATATGTATATATATGGATATTTGCAGAGGAGCACAAGGACGAGTAAAACTACAATCGAAGCAAGGCCAGGGTATAAAAGGTCAAAGTACTCACGTGTAAACCCCTGCTTGGACTTTGATGACCACTCTGACAAGGTTAACAGAAGGGAGAGAATCAATGGCGTCCTGAATAGTGGTGAAGTCTCCGGCGCCCGGATTCTTGTCGACGGTGAGGGTATAAGAAGGAAAAAGCTTGTTCTTTGCTGACTTAAAAACCGAGTGATTAAGGCTACCAACGAATCTGACCCACTGCATGAACTGCAGCTCCGAGACATGGGTTTCTGTCACATTTGACTGCCTCTGCTTCCCTCTAGAGATTTTGGCCCTGACTGATTTGGTACGGCACAATGTGTGCCCCGAGTTCAAGAGAAGAACAAAGATGGTGATGTAAAGAAGAAGTTGAAATCTTGGCATGGTTTCAAGAATGAGAGCAAAAAGAGGATGTCTTTTATAGAGGTTCAATTCATGAACTGGCCAGTTCCAATCATGCTTTATATACTGGTTAATAGGTACTTTATTGTTAGGCAGAAAAGTGATATATATATATATATATATATATATATATATATATTTGTTGGTTGTGAAGATAGAGAAAGAAAGATGAACATATTGGTTCAAGTGGTAATTAATTTGATATCACTTAAGTAGATTTTGAATTCGAATTTATGTGTATATAGACAATTTTTACTATGAGATTCTCCATAAAAAATAGATGTACGACTTGAGTCGGTTTGAATTATAGTTAAGACGAAATTTTAAAATTGAAAGAAAAAAAAATGAAGACAGAGAAAGAGAGGGAATGAATGATGGAAGGTTGAGGTCACGGGTCCATTTGGGTGGCAGAAGATGTCAGAGAAGAAGAGAGAAGGATACATGGGAGGGGGGAAAAGCAAGCAATCTAGGCCACAAGGGAGAGGACCAAATTCAAACTATTTTCTTTATTATTATAATCTCCTTTTGTTCTGTTGTTTGTGTTGTAATGCCCGTGAGTGGCATCCCCTTGTTTTTGTAGTGAATATATGCTTCAACTGATAATGGGGTTGCCCTCTTCTTTTTTCTCTCATAAATTATCATTAGTTATACCAACGAGAATTCGTCTTGCTTTATACTTGATTAGTGGGGTAAAAATATGGATAAAAATGCTATAAATGGAAGCCAACTAAATCAACCCACTGATTTGATTTTGTTGCGTCTAAAACTAGGACAGGGCAGCTAAAGGGGAGGGAGGATGCCAAGAAACGTAGTCTAGGACATGTTCACATGTCCAAATTTCCAAGAATTCTAAACAAACAACTGTACCAGACCCTTCTTTCTATTATCATACAAACTTCTCCTATGCCCATAATTCGTGCACAGGGGAAAGTTTGGTGTATATTAGGGGTGAGTATCGAGCGAGTTGGACAGTACTCGGATCGTGTCCATTAAAATATTTTGTTGTTCAACTTGAATCGTTGCTCGTTAAGCTCAATGTTCGTTGTTCGCCTCATTGCTCATTAATTTCACCGAAATTTTTAACTTATTTTCATAACTATAGGTAAAATCTACTTATATTATGTATATCTTAATATAAACATAAATTAATAAATTTAACAAAAAATATCAAAAGAGTGTATGAAACAATTTTAAAATCTAAAATATAAAATAACAATCACAACACAAATATATTAAAATAATAAATAAGACTTGATTTTTGGTATAATAATTATTAATTAATAATTCAATATTTTTTTTATTTATTAAAAAAATTAATAGATTAATAATTTATCTTTTTTATTATCTATTAATAAATTAGTATTTTTTAATGAAATAATTTTTTAAGATAAGTACTAAAAATTTATATTAAAAAATAAAGAGTTATTCATAAACTTATCGAGTCTAGTTAGACCTTGCTCGACTCAACTTGTTAAGATCTCGAGTCAACCCGAGTTGAATTTTTCCTAAACTTTGATTAAGTCAAATTCGAACGACTCAACTCATTAAACACCCCTAACGTGTATCATTCATTTATTTTCATTTTTAACCTCTATAATATTGACATGAAATAAGTCTTACCTAATTTGATGAAGTTGATGAAGTTATTACATTAATGATAAAATACTAGGATAAAGCACACAATTGATCCTTAAACTATGTTAAAATGATTTTTAATTATTGTACAAGTAGTAGTATCGGTTCTAAAAACCCTCCCTCGTTTTCAAATGAATATTCAAATACAACACTATGTAATCGCTGATACTCGAATTTGAAACTTCTAAAAATAACAATCATTCGTATAACCACCACAGTTTAAAATAACATCATGAAGATTAGAGAGTTGCTAGGATCTGTCAGGCATGCCTCCTTGGTCCTCCATGGAAAACTAGTTTGGACTACTTAAATAACAACAAATTTAGTGTCTACAACTAGTTTGGTTTCTTGACCCAGGTTTAGTTTGACACAATATCTTTCATGTTGCTAAAGAGGCTTGTACCAATCTAACACCAAATGTCTTGTACCAATACCTCTATAATTTCTATGAAATCTTCACAAAATTGTACAGCAACCATTGTAGTTGCATACTTGGATGCCATGAGCAAATGCATATACACATGTGGGTTTACACAATTAAGCTTCTGGTTTGCTGATAAACTACTAATCTGTAGTCTTAAAACCCCTTATTAGGTTATAAATCATCTTTAAACCTTTGACAAATATAACTTTACACGGATAAATCCCATTTTCGCTTGAATCCACAAACAGCAATACCTCAATAATCCTTCACTTTTCACTAATCACTACATTATTACTACTAGTCTTACCTAGAGAAGACATGAAAAAGCTTCTACTATAGCAACCCTTCTTTGATATGGTAGCCTTTGGACTACATGACTTGCTTCTCTGACCACCATCAAGTCCCCAACCATGGCTCTTACATTGTTTCACCTTTCCTCTGACCACTTTCTTTGGAACATCCTCTATGCTCATCACCCTTGCTAATGATGTGAAAGACTGAGACTTCCCTTGGTAATGCTTAGAAAGCCCTCTCCTGCAATTAAGGACGGATGCAGTTAAAGATGGATGTAAGATTTTATATTAAAGGACCGATCTTCCCTCGGTCCATCTCACAAGTACTGATATGTCAGTCTATGTTTGCTTACCTGAGAGGCAGCTGAGCCATGAGATCTGACAATTCATAAAGAGGTCCATTGGATGATGATGTTGCAGAAGATGCATCATCAACCAAGTCTGATGAAGATGTTGAAGAAATGGAGTTTTCTGATGAGTTTTCACCTATGGAGGATTCAATGGATATAGAGTCATCCCCTTGCATGATCATCAAGTTGCTTGAAATAGCAGGAACAAGAACAAGAACAAAAGTAAGATCTGAGTTCTGAAAACCCAGTGAAACTATGTGGTCTTGTAAGAGGGAGCATATGGATATACCTATATAAATATATGTGGTGGCATGTAAGCATAGGATAATCCTGACCATATCAATTTATTGTATTTTAAAAATGATTTTTTTTTGCCCCTTTATTCCAAGATTTGTCACTATCATGTATACACTAGTGGTCCATATTGAATATACCTTTCCCATTGTACTAGGAGATTGGATAAGATCTAAATTTGAAGGCATCCATATCCTACTCACTCTCTCTTAGCTGAAAATGAGGTTTATATCTTTAGTAACTTTGCTTCAAAAAGCCATTACAATATTCTACATGTCCCAACTGTTTAAAGGTTTTTTTTATTAATCTGAGTAAGTAAAATATAATATATATTCAAAAATAATTCGTAATAATTTGATATTAAACGTTCACACTCTTAATATTTCTAATGCTCGAACTCTAGATAAATAACAACAATTCATTTATTACATCTCGTTCGTGCGAGATTTTAAATTTGGATATTACTGCAGGTACATTCTCTTAAAATTTATTATAAGAAGTGATTATAATTAAAATTAGGGTAAAATATACAAATTGTCCCCTGACTATCGAGTACTTTATTAAATCTCTCGACTATTAAAAGTTACAAAATAGTTATTCAATTATTCATTAAATTCCAAACTCATTATTTTTCATTAAAAATTATAGGTTGTCTGAGCTGGACGTTAACATGATGACTGAGATATGACTATCATGTGAGATTCTAAGATCAGATTTTATCATATCATAGTCAGCATGTTAATATTCAACTTAAAATACCGTCAATTTTTTTAATGAAAAAGGGTGAGTTATGAACATAATGAATAGTCGGGTGATCATTTGTAACACTCTATAATCAGATGACTATTTTATAACTTTTAATAATCGAAAAACTTAATAAATTAATATCTTATAGTCGGAGGATCATTTATGTACTTTACCCCTTAAACTATTTAAAGTATATTTAACTGTGATTGTAATTACAAGTGTCCTCTACCTAAGGGACATCTAACTTTGTATGGTCCGAAAAGCAAACACGATTAGTGTATTCTTTGAAGAAAACGTGGAAGCCAAATGCTCTCGTTAAAATTAAACTCAGTGATCAAAATGTAAATTACCCATTAAAGTTGGTGACATCATATGAGTTAGGCTAGGGCAGTTGACTTAAGAGCAAAATGATGATGGGAAGTGGCCATTTGTAGTGTAATTTATAGGCAGGCAGCCACATTACGATTTTGTTGTAGATCCCCATATCTTTGCATTTTTATCCCTTTAATTCATTACGTAGTGTTCAAATTCGAGATTTTTAGGTCGTAAATATTCAACCTATGATCCAACCTATAAGAGGCGAGTACTCGATTTTTGAGTACTCATAAAATTTTGGTGTATGTATTTTCAAGTCACAGGTATCCGATTAATTTGTTTTTTTGTTTTTTAAATTTATATTGTTTTTTCAAAAAAATCACATAGAAAAAATATAAAATATAAAATTTAAAAGTTTATAATATATGGCATAAACGTAACATTTATAAATTCAAATTATATAATAAAATATAAAATTAATAAAATAAAATTTCAATTAAATTTAAATAATTTAAGATTAAGATAAATAATTTAAAAAATAATTAAAATAAAGTGAAATAATTTTTTAAAAATATAGATTTAGAATGTTAAGATAAAATAATTTTGAAATTAGAAATGAAAAATCTAATTTAAAATAAAAAATAGTAATAAAATGAAAAAGGAAACTAGATCAACGGGTTGGGGGTTGGCATGTACCCAGTTAAAGATAAATTTTTGACTCGACTCGAGCCCGACCCGAAAATCCACAAAAAATAACAGATCAGGTACCCGGCTCACAAAATCAGATATTTTCCTCTAAAATACGTAATAATTTTATACCAGATCAATGGGTCAACGAGTCGATTAGTTCGAGTTGAATATTTTTTAACACCCTTACCTTTCATACCATATCTTTGCATTCTTATCCCATATAGTCGGATTTTTACTGTGAAATGAGGATGTATTAAACACATCCATTGTATACACCATTGTAAACGTAGACAAAGTATTTCACTCGAACATTCTTTAATCATACCAACCATGAAACGAGTACATCGACAAAGCAAGAGATGATAAGCATAGCTAATATTACAAACACCAACCATTCTGTAACCGGAACAAGGATCCCATGACTTGAAAGTACTATTATTTATCTGCACTCAAACCGTTACTATATGAGGCGGCAGGTGCACTTTTGTATAGAAACCAACAAATAAGGGGCGCACCAAAGAGATTAAAGACCCTGATCAATGAGATAATCGCCGAGCCTTTCGACAACCATGTTGCACTGCCCGGGTGTCATTGGTTCGTCATAGATTCCAATGATCAAGGCCAGATTGGTCTTCTTAACGGTAACACCTCCCGGTCCCTGAAATTAAATTGGCAAATGCTTAGAATACAACCGTGACACACACACGTGAGATACCGACTAGAAAGTTATGCGTATACCCCTCAATGCCATTCCTACGAAAGCACAAGACGAACTGTGTACCGAATAGATACGAGAGCACAGCATCGATGTAACTAATTTTATCAAAAGGTTGAACCAGAAACTATACTCGGATCTAAATGCATAAATTTCAAATCTATTTGCATTGACCAATATGTAAAAGAATGCATGTGCTCATGAGATTTGTTAGTGTCACAAGCGCAGCAAAACGAAGAACCGAGGGAGAACGTCACCTTCTTCCCCGAATAACGGCGCCGGGTTCACCTTGGATCACCATGTATTTAGTGCCACCAATGTACAATCCAGTTGGGGCAAGTGATCCAGGTTCCTTGAAGTCATTCATGATGCCAGTGATTTCCTCTTGCTTCAACTGAAATAAACATAAGACCAAGAACCAATAAGCACAGGTTGATGGGGAAAAAGAACAGGAAATAAACATCACATTCTACTGTCTAAATGCCTAAAACCATCTGAACAATTCTTTTTCATCTAATTAAACTCTCAAATCAAGAAATTAAATCAATTAAATTCTCAAATCGAAAAAAATTGATTCAATTAATGCTTAATGCTTGAAAAACTAAGATATCTAAACAAAGATAAACAAACCCAGAAATCATACAGGTTTCCTATGCATGAAAATCAAATCTTTCGACACCTCCAGCAACATGAACTACTAAATCATAGCCCAAAAGAATCAACTTCAACTTCAAAAAAAAATAGTTTCATTAAAGAGAGAAATCAACCATGGGAACCAGATCCACCTTCTTCTTTGAGAAACCAAACCCAAAAACAAAAAGAAGGGAAGATTTACAGGAGAAGAAAAACCTGGGGGAAATTGGAGCTCTGGGCCCAAACGCTGCCGTCTTGGCCGATGATGGCAGCGGAAGTTAGGTGGTTGCCTTCAATATCACACAACAAGTGATCATCGACATAAGCTCGCCACGACATCTTCTTCTTCTACTTCTTCTTCCTTCTTCCTAAGCTTCCCTTGATTTCTTCTTGTAGAGCTTTGAAAAATTAAGGAAGTGAGGAAGTGTTTTGACTGAAAGGACAACAACAATGCAGGGCGAAGATATAGCGCAGGACTAACGAGATCTACTATATTCCTTTTTCTTCAATTTTCTTACCTGTTTAGGATTTGGGTAGAGATAGATGCGTCGGTTTTGGGTTAGATTTGGGTCAATCTGACATGAGAATTTTATATCTTTCACTCGACTCAATTCAAAAAAAAAAAAAAAAAAAGTATATATTCTTCATTCGATCTGAATTTAATCTGATTTTTTGAGATAAAATTCAAATTCGATTCGATTCGATTTGAAATAATAAAAAAATATTATTTTTTATTTAATAAAAATAATGATTTAATTGAAAAAAATAATATATAGAGGGTATTATTGTAATTATTTCTAAATATATAAGATAAAATTATATTTTTTTCTGGATCGGGTGGGGTATTTTTCACCCTAAACTCGAATCTGACCCGGCCCGAACATCACCTTAAAAAAACCCGACCTGAACCCAATTTTTTTTTTATAAAAACCCGACCGATCGGGTCGGGTCATAACCCGTCGGGTTCGGGTCTGATGCCCATCCTTAGATATGCATGGATCGGCTCACTTTAGATTTTCAGTCCACCTGACCCGACTCAGAAATTTAAAATCCTCCGCCCGACTTAAATCCGACGCGAAAAATATACTTCTTCCACTTGACTCGAACTCGACCAGATTTTTGAGATAAAATTCAGACCCGATCCGATCCGAAATAAAATATTTATTAAAAATATTATTTTTATTTAATAAAAATAAAAATTTAATTGAAATAAAATAAAATAATATATAAAAGATTACTATTATAATTATACATAAATATATAAGGTAAAATTACAAAAATTTTGGGTCGGATCATATATTTTTCACCCTAAACTCGAATCTAACCTGACCCTAGCATAACTTTAAAAAACCTCGACCTAAACCCAATTTTTTTTTATAAAATTATCAAAACCCGATCGAGTTAAGTCAGGTGAAACCCATCGACTTCGGACCTCATCCCTAGATTTGAGCCACAAACAATCCCTTTTCGGCTACACTATCAATTATGTCAACTAAACAATTAGATCAATTTTATTTTCATCGAATAATTGCTTTTATCAATTATTTCATTAAATTCTTAAATTGATTTAAATCAAGTTACATAGTTAATTGATAATTAAATAAATTTATATAATAATACATTTGATCTTTATTATTAACCCATTTATGGAATAATATATTACATATTATTTTAAGCTTAAACTTGATAATAATCAAGACTTAACTATTTTTTAATCATATTATACCCATTAAAATTTTAAGACCGAATCAAATTTTAATGGAATAAAAAAATGATTTCGATTAAAAACTAATTTTTTTTCAAGTGTCATTATTTTTCGGGTAAATTACATATTTAGTACCTAAACTATTAATTTTAATTTATTTTAGTACTTAAACTTTTAATTTTTTTAAAATTATACATTTTTATTTTATTTTAGTATCCATCGTTAAAGACTTAACACAT